CAGAATCACAAGAAATAAGAAGTTACTATTATTTTAAGCCACTAGATTTGGGGATGTGTTATAGCATTGCTATGTCAGTGATTTTCTTCCCTTTCTCCCTTTTCCTTACTTCTTGTGTTAGTTTTCTACTGCTATAACACAAGCGATCACAAAGATAGTGGCTTAGAACAGTACAGTTATTATCATCTCGCAGTTTCTGTGGCTCGGGTGTTGGGGCAGAGAACAAACAAGCTGGGTTCTCTGCTCATGATCCTACAAGGCTGCAATCAAGGTGCTAGCTGGGCTGTGTTTTCATCTGCAGGCTTGACTGGGGAAGAATTTCCTCCAAGCTCACCTAGACTGTTGGCAGAATTCATTTCTTTTCACTATAAGACTGAGGGTCCAGCCTTTTTCTGGCTGTCAGCTGGAAGCCAGTCTCACATTCAAGGCTGCCTGTAGTTCCTGGCCATATAGGCTTCTCCAAACAGGTGCTTACTTCAACATGCCATCAGGGAGAGTCTCTCTGCCTTCGTAGAGGGTCCAGTCCCACTTTCCAGGATTCTCAATTAAATAAGTCTCACCCAGAAGTATAAATTAGTTCAACCATGTGGAAGACAGTGTGGTGATTCCTCAAAGACCTAGAGGCAGAAATACCACTTGACTCAGCAATCCCATTACTGGGTATATGCCCAAAAGAATATAAATCAGCCTATGTATGTTCATTGCAGCACTATTTACAATAGCAAAGTCATGGAACTGACCTAAATACCTATCAGTGATGAAGAAAATGTGGTACATATACCACTATGCAGCCATTAAGAAAAACAAGCTCATGTCCTTTGGAGGGATATGGTTAGAGTCGGAAGCCATTATCCTCAGCAAACTAAGGCAGAAACAGAAAACCAAACACCACATGTTCCCATTATAAGTGGGAGCTGAATTATGAGAACACATGGGGACATGGGGACGAACAGCACATACTGGGCACCTTTGTGGGGTGGGAGGGCATCAGGAAGAATAGCTAATAGATGCTGGGCTTAATAACTGGGTAACAGAATGATCAAGCAGTAAACCACCATGGCACATATTTACCTATGTAACAAACCTGCACATCCTGCATGTGTACCCTGGAACTTAAAAGCTGAAGAAAAATAAATAAATAAATAAAGCAAGCAAGCAAGCCAGCCCACCCAGGATAATATCCCTTCTGATTAACTCAAAAATAAACTGACTTGAGACAAAATCCCTTCACCTTTAGAAGATTCTACTGGTTAAAAGCAAGCCACAGGTCTTGCCCACACAGATGGTGAAGAGATTACACAGGACATAAGCACTAGGGGGAAAGGCTCAGGCAGGTACCCTAGGCTCTCTATGCCATACTTCTTGGCAGGACTGGGATATGGTGAAAGGTAGTAGGATTGCTCAGAAGTAGAGAACCTATTCTCATGGACTAACCAAGGAATGAAGATGAAAGACAGGTCCAGAAACAATTATCATATTAGACACAAAGGTATACTTCCTTAAGACAGTTCCTAGGGATTTTCCAGTTTTGGGCTCAGGCAGGACAAATGGCCTCTCACTGGAGGAGAGGAGGGAAGGCTCAGGACAAATCTAAGAGAAGGGAACAAACTCCTGGAGGCTGGGGAACAACAACTACCTGTTCCCCTAGAGCAGCGGTCAGGAACTCCACACCTGTGGGAGGGCAAGCATGTGAGTGAAGTGGGCTGAGAGGAAATGAAGAGTGGTGATGAGGGTCATGTCCAGAGGAAGCATGCATTTGCTGCCTAATGGGGACAGCTGCTGCTCAACTCCAGCAGAGGCCTTATCATATGGGAATCTTGGCCCAAAGGTGCCAGGTGAAACCCATTATGAGAGAAGCTACAACTTCAAAATTTTATAGAATAATGATACGGTTTGGCTCTGTGTCCCCACCCAAATCTCATCGTGAATTGTAATCCCCAGGTGTTGAGGGAGTAACCCAGAGAGAGGTGACTGGATCAAGGGAGTGGTTCCGTCAAGCAGTACTCATGATAGTGAGTGAATTCCCATGAGATTTGATAGTTTTATAAGGGGCTCTTCCCCCTTCACTCACTCTCTCTCCCGCCGCCATGTAAGACGAAACTGCTTCCTCTTCTGCCATGACTTTAAGTTTCCTGAGGCCTCCCCATTTATGCAGAATTGTAAGTCAACTAAACCTCTTTTCTTTATAATTGCCCATTCTCAGGCAGTTCTTTATAGCAGTGTGAAAACAGACTAATACAAATATCTTGACTTTTGATGTTGATTGGTAATTGACAGTTTTTAAGAAACACAAACCTGTGCACTGCATTCAACTGAGGAAACAGGTCCTTGTAAAAGTCAATAGAAGGCAGCAATATGGCAAACCTGTCAAGTATCCAAACCCTATTCTTTGGGCTCCTTCTTGTGGCAGTAGTTCCCCAAGTGTGGTTCCCCACCAGCAGCCTCTGCAGCACTCAGGAACTAGTTAGAAATGCAAACGCTACACCTCATTCAGATCTACTGAATCAGAAGTTGTAAGGGAACGAGCCCTCTGGGTGATCCTGAAGCTTACTCAAGTTTGAGAACTACTGTTTTATGGGAATCACATTCCAGCCTGGAGATCATTTTTCCCTCTCCTGAACCCACTTCCTGTTTTTACAATCCTGAAGATTGTCGATTACAGGATGGCACAGCTCTCTACTGAATAGCTAATGTTCAAAATAATGGAGAAAGATGACTGCTTAGACATTGCTCATCTCATTTTAACACAACGCTGAATGGTAGTGGGTTTGTTGCCTGCACCCTCACATGGAAGTTCATAAATAAGAGAATGGATATGTATAAGAATGTTGTGAAACTCTCCAGTATAGGGCAGAGGGGAAGAAAGGCTGCTATTAACTTCTAATCATAAAAGAAGACACTCTCGCTACAGAAAGAAAATCCACTTCTGCTTGATAACACTTCATAAGTACATGAAACTGCTTCAAGTAATGTTGAAATTTCTAGGATCCTGGTTTGAATTAATTCAAGAACACATCTGGCCTAAGATCAATATTATTCATTTGGAAAGATACACTGAGATTTGTGTTTTGTCTGGAGAATTAGGACTTTGCAGCCCTCATCCTATGCCTCTATGACTAAGGACAGGGCGTTTAAATGCCAACATTCTCGGGTAAATGCTATCCATTGAATGTCACCAAGTGGGAAAGATTCATGTGATACATGTGAAACTCACATGTAAAAACACTTGCTGTTCATAGAGCTGCTTATTAAAAGTTCCCTTCACTTTCTTCTTCTTTTTAAAAATGCCCTGAATAATGCAAAATATTCTTCACCATGATTTGAGATGTCATGGCATCTGTGAACTTTCTATCGGCTGCAAAATACCCATGGCCCTACTCATGTTTACTAGTACTGGAGCCTCCCTCCTGGCCCCCTCAGTCACTCAGCCACTCAGCATGGCTGTGGATTGGGTCTCGCCCCATGCTCAGCACGGGGCCATGTGCTGCAGAGGTGCAACTGTGTCCAGCAGGCTCCTCCCTTCACATGATGGTTTATCAGGAACTAACTCTGGCCTCTACCTGTCTCTGGAAGTTACCACATGAAACATGCTGACATCTAATATCACCTTGTCTAAGAGTGAACCTCCATCTACTTCAAGGGTTGGGCTGACCCAGTGTTTATAGCTGGTCAAATTTATTCCTGGATATCCTTCGGGCAGGAGACATCTCAGAGTCCCACATACTCAGTCAGCTCAGCACTGCCAGCTTTTTCTCCAGCTTCAGAGGTGATGGCTCTTTTCAAGGTTGGGTAACAGGGGAAGGAGTTGGCACCCATTTGGGCACCACGTTGCACAAAATGTACACAGTCTTCAAGAACAGACTCACACTTGGCAAGGCAAGATGCCAGTGACAGGTGTGGACCAACAGTGACTAAGGGAATATGGAATGACATCTTCCATCTCATGTTCAGAGTATGTGCTCTCTGGATAGAGCTGAGGACACAGTTGTCATTTGTCTCCCGTTTCTTTTTGCCAAGTGTGTTTAGTTAGTTTAATTCCAGGAAATTAAGTATGCAAAACAGACACAGAGGGATGGACTTGGCCTGGACTGACTCACACACCTTAGAGACAGGCAGGATAACAGCAAGGGCACATTGACTAGAAAAACACCTTTGTGGTACTCCCAGAACAGCGTCCACTTTGACGACTTCCCCTGCTAAAATTCCACCTTTTAGGTGAGACAGTGACCACCAATTGTCAGTCTGCTGGCTGGTGCCCACTAAGGAACTTGTTAAAAAATGGATTACTGAACCACATCCCCAGAGATTTTGCCGCTGGAGTAGTGGGGTAGGATACAGATATCCATAATTTTAAAGGTTTTCCCAGGGAACTCAGGCAAGATAGCAGCTTGAGCAATCTCTGAGTTCAGACACTCAAAAGACACAAAAAATATTAATATCAGTCACTGATAACCTAACAACACCCTCATAAGATTAGTAACTGTCAATTTGGAAAGCAAAGACAGGATTAGAATAGAAAACAGACAAGTTTTGACAATGGTGGGGAACAGCACTGGGGGATGGAGAGAAGTTTCTGGGTGGTATTGGGGACCTGAGGAGGAACTACAGACATACAATACACAAGGGGAGGCCTGCAGGGCTACCACGGCTGATCTCACCACTCCACAGCTGCCGGGCCCAACATGCAGCTCTGCCTCCAGGAAAAACAGAAATAAAGAAAAGCCCAGCCCAATACAGATGAAGCACACTTCACAATGAATCTTTTCACAGAACACGTCCAATAGGTCCTTAACAAGTTTCTTCTCTCCTTCAAAAAAGTTTCATTTTGACAACAGGGAAAGCCAGACTTCAGTTTTGGTCAACCAAAAAACATAAGGCTGAGAGGCCATAGATCATTATGAAATTAAGTCTACATGGGGCACTTACCCGTGGACAAGCGGAGATTACAGTAAAAATTCTCAATGGAGTCCACTGCACAGATGCCATCAGCATCGACTTACCTTTCGATCTGGCCAATTGTATTTCGCAAAGATTGTATCATAGGTGTCCACTGCCCCGTCAGTTATGAGCATGATGGCCTGACTGCAGATACTTCCTTGTCCCGTGTGGTTGAACTAGGGAAAGAAATAGGTTCAAAATAGTATACACATCAGAAAATTCTGTGTATCAGTGAAAAATCAGAGACATGAGGCCTATGGCTAAGGAAGCATCTTAAAATGAGAGCACCTTGTCCATCACCAAAACGACCTACACAAAAAGCCTCTCCACACAGATCACTACATTTGCTCTTACAAAAGGATCTGTAAGCCAAAAATAAAATTGTAAGCCCTCCAACCAATGCAACAGACCTTACCGTTGGCCAAGGGGATCCCAAAAAATCTGAAAAAGTACTTCAGGCCATACCAGGAAGTTGGGGATGGGTCCGACATGCCCGGTTACACCCCCTCCCTTTGGAGTTTAGGCAGAACTGATCAACACTAATGTTACAATCGCAATCATAAAACTGACGAAACAAACTCTTTGTAGCAATACTATACACAATTCCAGCCTGACTCTGGCATAGCAGCGAAAGGCAGATAATAGACCCTCAAGGAAATAAAAGTATTTTACCCCAAAATATATTTATTTGACATATTTATTTTGACGTATAAAGCCTTCTCCTGCGGGGGATATTTGCATTCTCTAGAGAATCTCCTTCCCTTACTAGGTCTTATCCTAATCCAGGAGAGATTTAACTAAGAGTCTGACACCTTTTAAGGTTTGAAAAGAGATATTTGCCATCTATTCTCTCTGAAGCCTGCCACTTAGAGACTTCATCTACATAATAAAACCATGGCTTCCACACTGTCCTTAATTCAAGAATGTCTTTCTGCTGACTTCAACTCTTTATGCAAAGCTTAATTCTTTCAACCAATTGCCAGTAAGAAATCTTTGAATCCACCTATGACCTATAAGTGCCCTCTATCCCTTTGAAATGTCTTGCCTTTCCAGGCTGAACCAAGGTATACCTTACATGTATTATGTCTTTGCCGGTAACTTCTGTTTCCCTTAAATGTATAAAACCAAGCTGTAACCCGACCAACTTCAGGATATGTTCTTAGAACCCCTTGAAGTTGGACATGGTCATTCATATTTGGCTCAGAATAAAACATCTTTAAATACTTTATGGAGCTTGGCTTTTTTTTTTCTTCCAAGAGATCTAAATACAGACCACAGGGGGATTTCAAAAAATACACAGGGGTTGAGAAAGAAGGGTCTACGATGGCACATCCTCTTATTTTTAGGCATGGGCTGTATTTTAGGAAATAAGCCCAAAGAAGTTGGCACAGAGACGTTTTAGGGACACATTATATGAGCAATGGACTACCTGAGAGACATCTCTTTCAAAATCTAAATGAGGCTAGTTTGAGTGGGTCTGACTAGTATAAAATGTGGCATATAATAAAATCAAGGAAGTTTGAGGCATATAGAGAATAAAGTCAACAACATGACAATTCACACGAGAAGTCCAAGCATTTTTTAAATAAAGGTTCCTTTCAAATTTATATTGTCATGTAAACTTACATATTAGTTTATATGTTAGTATGGATGGCATGCTGAAGTTCTAAGACTGAACTCACTGGTATGTAAAACCCTAAACTTCTCCAACTTTCGGCTTTATATAAGATTTTAGAAGCTCTCGGCCTTTGTGAGTGGTAGGCAGCTAGAGTGACTGAATATGTTTGCCAGAGCAGAATGTCCTTCCTTGGAATCAGGGTGAAAAATTCCCTTAATGAATGCTGTTAATGATGCAATTGAATGTAACACCATGTCCTTTAAAAAACCCTACAATTACATGTCAATGCTGAGAGATAGTAAACACACAAAAAGTCTTCAACCTTAAGTAAGTAAAAACCTTCTCTATCATAATCTGCAAAGTGTATTCATTTGTTCTAAAATTATTTGCTAAGTGCCCACATAGCACTAGGAATGAAACATACAAAAATCCCTTCCCTCAGGAAGCTCTGTATCCTCTTTGGGAAGACATAGAAAAACAAGGTAAACAAGTAAACTACGTTGTATGTTTGATAACGGTGATGTTAAGGGTGGGGGAAGAAGAAAGCAAAGAAGGATAGGAAATGGGAGGGGGCAAGTCTAGAAAATGTAGTTAAGGAAGATCTCACTGAGAAGGTGACATTTGAATTATACCTGCGGAATGTGAGTATCTGAGGGAAAGGTATTCCAGGAAGGGCAAATGTTCAGTGCAAAGGCACTGAGTGGGACTGTTCCTGGCAGGTTCAATCTATTGACCGTGACCCTGGGGAGGGATGGTGGCTGCTCTTGGCTTTGCTGGCTGGCCACTGGTGAGTGAGAGAGTTAGTGAAGCATTCAAATTATTAACTTGAATTCAAGTTATTAATGCCTAGTCTTCATGCACTTAGATGTCTGATGTGGAGTCTGAAACTGTAGTAACTTGAGAGAAGACCATACATAACTGGATAAGTAGGGAAAAGGATGAATGGAATGCCTTATGGCCACACTGAGACACAGGAAAGCCAACTCAAATCATGCACAAGGTACCATGGTATAAAAGAAAGCACTCGATCCCATCTCAGCAACACAGCAGTGTGCCTGGGATAAGTTTCCTTCCTGAGCATTCATTCTTCCACATACAAGATAAGAATAACATCCTTACATGGCTGGCACACCACAAGTTAAGTGGTCAATGTTCATTATATGCCAGACTGCATGCATTAATATGAACTTTCTTAATCCTTATTAGCCTCTGAGGTAGGTACTATTGAGACAGCCAGGTGGGAAGAGCTCCTTGGGAAAACTCCAAACAGCCTGCGCACTGGGAGGAATGCTCACTGGGATGGAGCCACAGAAGTCTGTGCCATTTGCATTGGGGAGAAGCCTGGCTTCTCTTCCTGTGAGGAACCTGGGATTCAGTCTCCGAGGCGGGAAGCAGGTACTAGCAGGGCTAGTAACGGTTTCCCTTTTATTCCCTTTTTGCCAAATAAATTCCATTTTTCACACTCTTCAAATTGTCTGCAAGCCTAAATTTTTGTGACATGGACCATGTGACAAGGACCCTGTCTTTAAGTGAGCTAAGGAAAAGTCTTGCAACACTATCATTATCTTTATTTTACAGTTAGGAAACTAAGGCACAGAGAGATTAGCTAACTTGCCCCAGGACACACAGCTACTACCTGACATAGCTGGGATTTGAATCCAGATTATCAGGCTCTAGAATCCACTCTCCAATTCAGCACACAATATGGCCTTTCAGTAATACAGGAAGGTCAGTGAGCACATGGATAGGTGGTGGGGCTTGAAAAGTGTTAATCTCCTCCTCCTGCCTCTATTCCTCCATCCCTTCTAGGGTTTCAGTGTCACAGGGGAGTCACCAGGGCTGTTATCCTGAGGGTGAGTGCTCCTTACATTTGGTGCTTTAGGGACTTTCCTCACGGTAGTGCTGGCTCTGGCAGCCATTCCTGCAACTCCAGCTGCACAGGTGTACTTGAGTTAATGAGCAGACACAGCCCATGACACTGTCATGGTAGGCAGAAACACCTGGAACTCTAGCTATCACACCACAAAGCTTTCCAGGTGATCACCATTCTACCGTCTTTATCAACATAACTTACTATTCCAGAAAATGCTTGCCCAGAAAATAAAACTTGCAAATAACCTCATTGTTTATTCCAGGAACTTCTTGAAAGACCCATCAATTCTCCAATAGAAAGTATCAAAGGACAATTTACACCCTAAGACTGAACCCTTGACCTTAAAATCTTCCCCTTGCTATGTTCACCAACCCTCAACTGAAATATTAGAATTCTTACCTGGTCCTCACCAAGCCTGCTTCCTCCTCTCCCATTAAAAGGTCCATCTGCAACCAAACTTCGGTATCAAAAAATATCTGAACTTTGTCCTTCCCACTCTGGGGAGCTACTAAGACTCTATTGTGAAATGTATTTTCTTCCTTACTGCAGAAGAAAAAACAGCCTCGTAGCCTGCTCTTATCAACAGGTTGTTCTGAAGACGTTCTGGGGAGACTGCATTGAACACAGTCTTCACACCATTGAATCAACCCAGCAATGAGCCAATGCATAGAAGTGATCTATGCTTCAGGTCACATAAGCTTCAGAGAGGAAGAAAACCAGAATGCTCTAGGGCTATAGTTCTTGCAACTCATTTGAAAACATCCTGGAAAAATCTTCCCAAACACATGGAAAGAAAGAGAGGAAAAAAGAAGATATCTGAATAATGTGGACTTGAATAAAGAGCTGCCAGGAACTGTTTATTTAAAAACATTACTTTCCTCTCTGGCTGAGTCCCTGGTATTCTCTGCCGCAATCTGTAGTTGGAGAATTTTGAAGAATGCAATTAAATTCAAATGCTTTGATGAGTAATATCTCTTCTCCTCATATTTGTCTAAAACTTTTTTTTTATTGAATAGCAAGAGTGATGAAAGTGTTTTCCATAATAATAACAATGACAAGGGCCCGATGATGAACTACAATTAGCTCAGTGATTCATCAGTTAGCAGTGAAATTTTCAATGCATCCTGATATTTAGAGCATTTGGTTGTGATTAACGGTCTTTGAAATGTCACCGAATTTTATTTAATTGGCTAAGAAAAAATTTTAAAAGGTAATTACTGCAAAGATCACATTCATCACCAAAAACGATAATTGCAGTTGTCACATGACAAGGTAGATGCTAACTACTGTAGCAAACTGGCTCTGTGTTCTTACAGAATCTAATGAATGCAGCAGAGATCGATAGCTTGAAGGGGCTTAGAAGTTTATTTGAATGCTCCTTTCAAAGCCATTTCTGTCAACAACTGCAAGCCTTTAAGTCATCTGAGCAAATACAGAAACTGAAATGCAGGTAATTGTAAGACAGAATTGACTCCATTTAATTATAGTCACCTCTGAACCATTCCAAGCTCCAGCCACAATGACAAGTTTAAGCTTGTTGCTCGGGTGTGTTTGTGTGCCTGTGTGTGTGTGTGTGTGTGTGTGTGTGTGTGTGTGTGTATGTTAGAGAAATAACTTTCTATTTCATATTGACTTGCAATGGCAGGCAGAATACACAGGAAGATAACAGTATCACTTAAAGGTCATACTGATGAAGTAGAAAATATTAATAGATAAAGCTTCATTTTCATGGGAGATTAACCACTTCTGTGTTTGTCAAAGAGTTTAGCTATTCAAAGGCCCACTGGCAAGAGATGATATGAGATGTTTCTCCCTATGAGATAAATGTGCACTCAAACAAATATAATGCCAACCACCAGCCAATCTCAAGCAGGGACATTTTGTAACATTTATCGTGTTGTGTGTGTGTGCGTGTGTGTGCGCGCGTGTGTGTGTTTAGATGGAGTCTCACTCTATTGCCCAGGCTGAAGTGCAGTGGTGTGATCTCAGCTCACTGAAACCTCCGTCTCCCAGGTTCAAGCTATTCTCCTGCCTCAGCTTCCCAAGTGGCTGGGATTACAGGTGCCTGCCACCACGCTCAGCTAATTTTTTTGTATTTTTAGTACAGACAGGATTTCACCGTGTTGACCACTCTGGTCTCAAATCCCTGACCTCTAGTGATCCACCCACCTAGCTTCCCAAAGTGTTGGGATTACATGAGCCACTGCACCCAGCCTATTGTTGTATTTTTTAAAAAAAAAAAACATTCATTCAGATTTTTTGCTTTCCAAGATCTACATTCAGTTCATCAGGTTACCTGACTGACCAGACTCCAGAGGTGATTTTACAGGAGTATGTAGGGTTTTCCTGTTTAAAATGCTTCCCTCACAAAGATTCAAGGTAGAAAAAAAGTCCAGCACGTGTTCGTGATTTTTCTGGGTCTTAGCAGTCCCCATGAAAGTGTGAATACATCTTCTTGGAGTATATAATGATATTATGCCCCAAAATGTGACTGGTGGTCTGAAACTTCTGCAAGATGCTAATACTGAGATGACGATGTGATATAAAGTGTTCCCGGTTTAATAAGTGTGGGTAAACACATTTTTTTTTTTTTGAGACGGAGTTTCGCTCTTGTTACCCAGGCTGGAGTGCAATGGCGCAATCTCGGCTCACCACAACCTCCGCCTCCTGGGTTCAGGCAATTCCCCTGCCTCAGCCGCCTGAGTAGCTGGGATTACAGGCACGCGCCACCATGCCCAGCTAATGTTTTGTATTTTTAGTAGAGACGGGGTTTCACCATGTTGACCAGGATGGTCTCGATCTCTTGACCTCGTGATCCACCCACCTCGGCCTCCCAAAGTGCTGGGATTACAGGCTTGAGCCACCATGCCCGGCCGCCACTAGGTTTTTGAGATGAAAAGAGAGTGAACTTCAAATTGTGACAAGTCTTTTCAATATCACCACCTGGAAAGAGCCTGCTGAGATGTAGAGATCCAAGCCCAAAGAAGGAACCTGCCCAGGGTTCAAACCAGAATGTAAGTGCAGCCCAGTCCTCTGTCCTGACCAACTGTGCTTCTAAACGATTACTCTGCTGTCAACAGAGATGTACTGTCCACAACACGGACTCTTACATAACTGTTTACATCCTGTAGCCAGCAGCCCCGTGGAGTTCATGAGTGACAGGGGCTTTGGCTCTGTGCTGAGGAAGTTGACTTGGCACCTTCTCTCCTTATTTTTCTCTTCTCTTCTGCAGTCATGACACTGTCTCAGGAGTGAGATCTAAACAGTCACCTTTGGGCCTGACCAATAGGTATTATTGGTCAAAGAGACTCTAAAAATTAGGGCCTAACCTTTGCTTGAGAGGCCAGTAGAGCTGAGTAGTAAAAATTCAAATTTTGGAGTCAGGTGTAACTAACCCCAATACAAGCTATGCACTACTGAGTGAATGACTCACCTGTCTGGGCCTCTACTTGCTGACCTACAAAATGACAACAGCCTGCCCTGCAGAGCTGCCTGGAGACCAACAGCAGCAAGACCTTGGGAGCCTCTGCTGGTCTCCCAGCTCCTGCTTGACACTTCAAGGTGATGTTGCTCCATTTAGTGCCTGTTTGTTCTCAGACTATCCCATGCCTTCTTCCTGCAAACCATGGCATGCAAGTTCCCCAACAGTTTTGAAGAGGATTATATAAAGGGGAAAGGAAGCAAGGAAGGAGCCAAGGTATTTCTAAGTAATTTCTCTATGCTTTCAGGGGATAGACATTTTCTAGCTGTGACTATGTCTCCTCCATAGTTCCAGCTTCCATAGGACAGGTCTTTCCCTCTGTGGTCCCAGTTCTTCTTGGGTAGCCTCCTCCACAGTTCTGTTCCCATCTGGATGGCCACAGTGACTCGGCTTCAATGTCACCCTTCCTGCCTGTTGTACCCTCTACCCTAGAGAGGAGATGCCTCCTGATGATGCTATACTGTGGATCACTTCATTCTCTGGTTTCTCAGCTTTTCCATCTTTTATGCCATCAATTGCCTGAATTAAACTCCTACTGTTTGAAATACCTAGCATGGTTTTTACTTTTCTGCTTCTTAACATCTTCACTGCTAACTTCCCAGCCCAGGTTACCATTATTTTTACCCAGATCAATTAATGGCCTCCCTGCTATTGTCCTTGCCCTCCTAGAGTTGCTTCTAAACACAGAAGCCAGAAAAACGCTGTTAAAACTCAAGATCGTGTCCTTCGCTGCTTAGACCCTCCAATGGCTGTCCACTCCACGCAGAGTCAAAGCCCTCATTAGAGTCTCTATGATGCTATACAATTTGGCTCCTGCTGCTTCCAGTTCTCATCCCCTAGTGCTCTCTCTTCCCCACTCTGCTCTGGTTTGACCTCACTGGCTGGCACCTGTTCCCCAGATGACCTAAATGGGCCAGCCAGTATCACTCTCCCATCCCATGCCTGTAGATCTGCTCAGTGTCAGCCACAGCTGGCCCACAATTTTTTAAAACAACACCCATCTATTGCCCAGGGGATGAGAAAGGCAAACCAAAGAGGAACTTACATCACTGAGAATGTTGAAGGCCTCATTCAGAGCTATATCCAACATTCCAATTCCTTTGGCGAAAAGTTTGTCCAGATGCTCCCTGAAGTGCTAAAACAACAAAGCAGAAAATCCATTAGTGTCTGTCCTGTTATGTGAAACACCAACCTTGAATGAATTAGATGTACGCCACGGCAAGACCAACAATGAATCTCAGATCCAACCAGTCATAATTTCCTTTTTCCTTCTGCATTCAAAACATAAGAACTTACTCAATGTAAAATTTACCTTCAATGTTCATGGTTTAGCTTCAGTTACAGTTTAGGAAGAAAATCAGTTGAACTCTGGTGAAAAGCATTTAGTTTATCTAAAATTGGCACTTTCCTGTCCTATCCCTACTCTCCCACTCCTGATCACATTTAGGACTCTGCATACGCACCCCTCCGCTGGGAACCCACTCTCAACCCATTCCCTGCCTCTCCTGCCATGTTGTCTCCCAGCTACTTTTCAGATCTCATACTGCCATAACCTGCTTCCTGTTATGTGATGTCTTCTCAGACCACCAGCCTCTGACACTAGCCTAGAGTGCTTCCTCTGTGACTCCATGCTGCTATGGGGTACTCAGATCCACCTTTCACTGAGCACTGCATAATTAAACAATGTCCCCACTCAAGACTGTGACATTTCTTAATATATGGCATTACTCTGTCTTCACTCCTACCACATGTATGATACACACAGAAGGTGCTCAGTAGATGCCTATAAGGAGCAAGGATAAAGACTGGACCACAACATGAAAACTGTGATTATAACAAGAGAGACACAGGCTAGAAATCCAGAAGAGCTCTAAGAAATAAGGAGAATGGGAGCGAGCCTCTTCCAGCGTAGGCCCCAAGACCCTTCTGGCTCTGCAGAAGCCCAGAATCAGCTGGAAATTAAAGGGAACAAAAGAAAGTAACTGTGAAACCCCATGTATTTCTGCTTCCCAACAAAGAGACAAGAACAAGTTCAGGCTCATACCCAGGAACGGTCCGTGCAGGCGACGCATGTCCAGGAACACATGCACATATGAGTGCCCCTGACCCAAAGCCCACACCTACAGTGGCACCACAGCCTGGCCTTGCTTTCCAATCACTGCATTCCTAACCCCTTGCTTTTTCTATTGAAATGAATTATTATCTCCCCAAAGGTGTCCACACTTTTGTCCACTGGGGAAACTGGCTGGAGGAGTCACCAAGACGGAGAGGAGCAGGAAGAATGAGATCTTGGAAAATATCTGCCCATGATTTCCTTGCTAAGGAGTGGCTTTCTTTCTCTTACCATGCCCTAGGACCCAACAATGCCCCAAGCATGCCATCAGCACTCAGATCGTGACAGCCATTCTTTGATGTGTCTAATTGGCCACACTGCCCTGGGACCCCGGAATGATCACAGAATCAAAATGGATCATAGAGACAGATCTGAGGGCATGCTGAGAGTTCTACGATGCTGTTCTGCCTCTGCCTGGGTCAGTAGCAGTAGGAGCCTCAGAAGCAGTAGGAGCCCCCAGTCACTGAAATGGGCAGAAGATTTGCCGGCAAGATGGTCCCAATGTGAACTCCAAAGTTTGGGGGGGTTCTTCATGGTAATAAGGTTTGAATGACACCTGGGTCTAACACAAATCAAGGCTGAATTTGAAACCAGTGGCTCACCTTGGGCATATATACAACCCACAAGACCCTCTTCCCTGGCCCGCTCTACTCTCATAGCAACCTTGCCTTCTGGCCCATCAGAGCAGCCACCATTATTGAAGCCTGCCTGGTGTTAGGCCCTTAAAAAACACAGAGCAACTGAGTCTTCATGATAATCATGTGAGGTTCCATCATCCTGCTTTAGAGATAGAGAGACCGAGGCTGAGCACACCACCTAGCTGCCTGGCCCAGGTTTCAATCCAGGTTAGCTTCACCTACTCTAAGGCTCTTCTTCTTTCTGCTATGGAACTGTTGTTTCTCTAAATTAGCAAAATAAAAGCTTCTTTTTTTTCTGAACACCTTGTATGCCAGGCACTTGCCATGGGCTTGATATATACCTGGGCGGTCTGGCTCCAGAATGCTCACTTTAATCTCTGCTCCTGGGTGGGAGCTAAGTCTTTAGGGGATGATCAAATGGTTTGAGTGATAGGGGAGAGAATGCTGAGGGCCAGGGAACCAGGCAAATCACAGGGCCAGGACCCAAGCTTTGTGCTTCTCTTTTCTTCCTGCCCATTTCTCAAGGCCTAGCAGGATGGTAAGTGCATGGCAGGTCCTTTAGGAATGCTTGGTGAACAAATTCAGGCAACTAACTGAGTCCAGGGAATCCAGGCATCCCAGCTGCAGGTAGGCAGCAGGAGAGTCTGCCTTCACCAACAGCCACCCCCTGTGGAAACCAGGCTTGTGACTACCATGAGGACTTAGGCTCTGAAGGTGTCTAACACGGTGGTCCCCACACCCTCCTACACCCACCTAGGGACATGGAGCATGATGAAACACCCATCACAACAGCTCACTGAGAGGCTGCTCTTCAACCAGCCCTAGATTCACAAAACTGTGGCCAGACTCTGCCTTGACAAGTCCATTCTATTCTCCTGATGTCATTTCTGCCAAATGCCTTTCATCGCTCTCAGTCACACAAGTTAACAGAGCACTTTTTTTAACAACCTGCACAACATTTAATTTTTCTTTTCATCTACGTGTAGCTGTGCGTCATGCGGCACTTCAGGCAATGGCTGCTTTTACAGTTGAACATTCAGATCAAATGTAAGAGCATGTTATGGAGCTCCCCTTCAATTGCTTTTATAACAAGGTCAGTTGTTATTTTGATTCTTCCTGGTACAAATAGAGTCCATGTATTAGATGGAAGACTATTTTCTCAAGTAAGGGACTTCCAAATGATGCCACAGATAAAGGACTCTCCGTGTTTCTTTCTCCTTCCTTTCTCTCATATCCAAACTCCCTTTTCTCCTCCTCCACAGCCTGACCCAGACCACCATCTTGGCCTTTGGGGCTGCATTCAGCCTTCTGCCCAACTCTCCTACACAAAACCAGCTCGCGCCTCCCAGGGAACTATCTCCATGATGCGTCCTCCACTAACAGTGGCTCTGTCTAGTTAGGTAGCCTTGAGCCACGTATAGTATTTACGTTTAAATTTAATTATTAATAAAATTACCTAACACTGAAAATACAGTTCCTCAGTAGTGCTGGCCTCGTTTCAAGTGCTCATTAGCCAAATGTGGCTGGTGGCTACTGCACTGGACACTGCCAATTAATGAGCATTGCCATCATTGCAGAAAGTGCGACTGGACAGTGCTGACCCAGAGATGGGGTTAAAATGGACCTTCCTCCCCAGCAAGCCATGGACTAATGGTGAGTCAGGAAGATCCAAGGCCCGGACCCAGGGCCATGTGTGAGTTTTGCCTGCCCAGCGTCCATTCCCCTTCTTCCAATTTTCCTTCTCCCCCATCCACCCATAATTCATATGGTTTGAGTGAAGCTAATGTCTCTCTCCCTCCCTCCCAGATCAAGGGATAGGACCATTTATCAGACCTGTCCGGTCTATGAATTCCATCCCAAGGGCTACAGTCATGCATGGGCACGGACCCAAACCCTGGACTTCTGCTGGCATGTGGGAGGAAGGACTCTTTCTTTCCATGGGGATTGCTGAGATGAAGCCTAGGGCTGCCAGCAATCACCCTGCCGCTGCACAGGAGGTGCACACCTGAATGGAGGTAACAGCTGCAGAGAGCAGAGCCTGCGTGGAGGAGCCAGGACAGAATAGCGACAACAAGGCCTGAGCCCCTAGATCCAGGCAGGCCTAGCCTTTTAGGTAAGTGAACCAATACATTTGCTCCTCCCCTTACCCAGTTTTAGCTCATGCAGGCCACTTAATTGAAAAGATCCCTTACGATTATCACAACCAAACCAATGACCCTGGCTGTGGAGACCATACCTCGCGAAAGCTTCCCCTGCATTAAAGTGATCCTCCTCTGCTCCTCTATGCCCCGCTCCCCTTCTTAATCACAGCCATGGTACAGTGCGATGGGTTTACCACGCCTATGCTAGACCAAACACAGCACTTATTCACAGCAGGCTCTCAGTGCTCAAGGCTTTAAAAGCCAGTGCTTTGATGACCCATGGCATGAAGGAACTTTGTGATTCTGCTGAAGATCAATCCTAGCCATGTTCACTCCAAAGGCAGTGTCTGGAAGCAAAGGAAGGGGCTTGGCTGACTGCCCTGCACTGTCCTCATCACTACAGATTTTTCTCTACTCCTGGTGTGGTCAACGTAAGACCCAGAAATTGTTACGTTAATGCCATCGTATCACTGTCATTGCATAGAAGCAATTGGTATACAGGCCTTATGAACTCTGGTCACAAGAAAAAAACTGAGCTGGGGTCAGGAGACTGAGTTCCAGTGCAGGTTGTACCATTTACCAACTAAACCCCTGAGGCAAGTGGCTTTAGTTCTCTGGCCTCAATTTTGCCTGCTGTGAAATGATGGGAAAGCGTCTGAGTAATGGATGGGGTAGTGAGAGCATCGGTGTCTCAGAACGGCAGGCAGGACTTCCCTCCAATTTCTGCTCTGACATTCACCCTTTCTACAAGCCTGAGTAAGACAGTGCCTTCTCTGTGCCTTCATTTCCCTCTGATATGTGAGGGAACTTGGTTTGACTTCTCCCTGGGGGACTCGAAAAAAGAAGTCATCTGAAAGAACTGTGGAGACAGAAAAAAACCGTGAGACTACTTTCATTTCATATTCACTAAAAGAAAGGGTTGTCTTCAATACGCAAAAATTAAAACAGAATACATCTTAAACACTTTCTATGCCAACTTCCTGGGTTGCAACTTTATAATCTAATAGACCTTGGAAAAGGAATTATTTTGCATTTCAAGGGCCAGGTTTCCTTAAATGGATAGAGACACATAGTTGGCTTCACTGACCCCAGGACCTGAGTGCCCTCAAGGGCACAGCTACAGAAGAAAGCTCCAGATCACCCAAGTCAGGGAGGCTCTCAACAGCCACGTACCAAAAGGTGGCCGGTTCTCATTATTTTTCTCAATTAAAATAAACAGTTTATTGGAAATGGTGACAGTTCC